CGGGGCTGCCGTCCTGTCATGGCGGCCTTCCCTCAGCGCAAGGCCCAGCGGCTGAGGCGGGCGGACGGCAGCAGGAAAGGCGCTTTGGACGAAGGGGTTGTCGCCGTCGTGCAGCTCCTGAACGGGAGAGCCCAGTTCTGCACCACCAGTTCCTGCTCCGGCCGCCTGGTGCTGGCGCAGGGCCGCCCCGCGGTGAGGGGCCTGGGAGCCCAGGCGGGGCCTTTTTTTTTTTTTTTATATTAAAAAAAAAAAACCAAACCACCAAGATTCAGCATCCACCTGTGCGTAGTGCGCGTTTAATCGTGTCTCTTCGTTACTAGGATGTAAACGGCGGGGAGATCGCCAAGGGGAACTGCACGTGGCTGATGGTAACGCACGAATTGTGCAGCAAAGGCGATGTGGTAAGAGGACAACGCGGTGCAAGTTGTATATTTGTATTAATGCGGTGTTCCTAATGTCGTGGAAAACGCGTCGGGTAAAATACAAAGACATTTTTAAGGTTTTTTTTATTCCTGTTAGTGAGAAGAAATGACACTCCAAATTCAAAATAAGCTTCTCGTTAGCTTTTCTACTTAATAAATTCCTAAAACCTGCTTGGAAGAGAATCCTTTTAAGCTTTATACCAAATTCTCTGTTGTAAATGCAGCTGATAACGAAACTTGAATAATCTCCACATCACAATAGCTCAACGAGAAGTCAGTTATTACAATTGTTTCTACCACAGGAGACTGTCGTTCAAAACACGATTTCTGCAAATCTAATATACGGTGATTCTTGTTTTTCAAAGCCCCTCCCTCGTTCAGAATGAGCGGAGATGATGCTGCTCTAAGCAAGTGATCTTCCTTGTCTGAAAGGTTACTGGTAATATAGCCATGTCTTCTTCATTTCTGCAGCTTTTTATCTGCTCTTTGTTTTCCCTTCTTGTTGGATTGCCAGCAAGGTATCAACTGGACACAGGATTTGATTTAAAAGCTTTCCTATCCAAAAGTAAAATACGCTTAATTTCTGTAAAATACTTGCTGTTCTTGGGACAGTGCTGACCTAGTCACTGGCAGTCTGGCAGGGCTAAATGACAACCATATATTCCTTGCTGATACCGCGGCACAGTTGCTGCCTGAAGCTGCGCGTCTGCCTGGTAGAAGTTCTGTGTCGGGCAGCACCTGAGGTGGTTACTCAAGCAGCAACATCCCCGCAGGATGCAGATGCAGGATAATGTGGCCTTTATCCTGTTCTCCAGCAGTTCGAGCCTGACATGCCCATTAACGCAGTAATTGGAATACCTCTTTCAGAATGGGTGGGTTGTGATTAACAAATATTTTGTGTTGTCCTCATTAACTGTTTCATAGGCTATGGCCATTCTTGCTTTGTTGCTTTGGTCAACAATTCCAGAAGCCACCCAAATGAATTCCTTTGTTTCCATTAATTGTGGGTGTGTTCAGGTAAGCATGCCAGCGAGCATGTTCTTTTTGTAAGTAATAACTCCTTCAAGGTGGTTAAAACCGTCTGGAGTTTAAAACTGCCTGGACCCCAGCTGGCTGTGCTAACAGCCTTGCATGCACAGACATCTGAAACGTGTAACACTGAATCTCTTACGCTGCATTTTTAATTTAGTATCTTAAAATCCCATGAAATTAATAATATATATATATTTTAAATTTGGATTGGATTGGATTTTTTAATTTTTTTAAAAAATTGGATTTTTTTAAATGCATTAATTGCAAGTTTAAGAAAAAGGTCTTTGTTTAATTTTTAAACTGCTATACTCTAATGTATAATAAAGCTTTGATAGTGCAGTATTTAGGAAATGAGACGGGAAGTCAGGATCTTGCATGCTGCATGTTGTGCTTTTTGGCTGTCAGATCATTTGACCTCACTGCATTTATTAACCTCATCTATATGAACATGGGATATTTGTTTCACAATTTATTTTTATCCCTTTATCCTCCCAATGCTTAGAGAAAAAGCATCATGTATTACGATGTACCTCTTCGCAAGGTCATTGATACAACACAAATATCATCTCATAATTGCACAACAGTGTAAAACTGAAGTGGTGTATTTTTTTCCTTGACACACTATTGGTGTGAGTCTTGACCATCTTCAACTTTGGATTTTTGGATTTTGGAATGTATGTACACCAGAATTTGGCCAGCTGCCATTGAAGACTTTAAGATGCACGTGTGCAGAGTGTTCACTTCTACCCGGACCCGTGCACACACAGTTTTGTCCACATGTCTGTATGGACAGACCTGTAAAGTCTGACAGACCTGTCAGCTGCTGCTTTCGCATATTGCTGGCAAACCTTCCAAATGTCCCGTGTGTCAGGACAGTGCATCTCATGAGTGAGGGGTCGCCTCATCCCTCTCTCCTACGCAGGTTTTGCCCAACGCAGTGGGCTGTGCACTGCCCTTGTGGCACTGTAACTGCAAGCCGAGCTGGGACCATGGTTGCAGCT